GATTCTGTTAGATTTTGATGTATTTGCTTAAACGTTCTTGGGTGGCTCGCCAATGTATTACTCTTTGTATGACTCTAATACATAAAATAAATACGCTGACCAAAGTTTTTACTGAGAGAAGACTTTATTGAAGACAATAGCTTTTTTCCATCCTTCTATTTTTATGCACATTTTGGATGTACGCATAAACAACGATTGACGTAAACGCTAAGATGCGCATACATTTTGATAGGGCTGGACATTATGGCAAAAAATCATATCACGAAATATTTCTTAATTTCGGTTGATACGATATAATTCCGATATCGATATGGACAATATTAGCCAGGAAAAAACTGGCAAGACTACACACAATGGATGTCTGTACCCACAAATGTCTGCAAACGGAATTTGCAAAGTCTATAATAAATCCAGGCTCTTATACATTTTTAAAACTTAAATAAAAACAGTACAATAAATCATGTTTACTTTTTATTTGTATAGCCTTTACAAACAAGAAATGTGAAATAAACTATCAAATAAATAAAACTCTAAGACTCAGCTCTCTATATAACACACACACACACACCTTTTCAGATGCAGATACTTGTTTGCAAATGAAACAAGCCATACAATCTATCAATTCTGTATAGGGTCATAAAAACTCTTTATGTTTGAGGAACTACTTCCTCTACCGATTTAAATCCCAAGTTGACTGTTGGATGGCTGATCAATTGCAAAAACGATCGCCCTTCCACATGGCAGAATAAGGTCAATACATATTTTAATTCTAAAAAATTCATTACCTATTTTGATTTATATATGAGGTGGCGCAGTAGGTAGTGCTTTCACCTCACGGAAAGAAGGTCGCTGGTTCAAGCCTCGTCTGGGTCAGGTGGCGTTTCGGTGTGGAGTTTGCATGTTCTCTCTGCGTTTGCGTGGGTTTCCTCCGGGTGCTCCGGTTTTCCCCCACAGTCCACAGACATGCAGTACAGGTGAATTGGGTAGGCTCAAGTTGTCCTTAGTGTATGAGTGTGAATGAGTGTGTGTACGTTTCCCATAGATGGGTAGTGGGTGGAAGGGTGTCCGCTGCGTAAAAAACGTGCTGGACAAGTTGGCGGTTCATTCCGCTGGAGCAACCTCGGATTAAAAAAGGGACTAAGCCGAAAAGAAAATGAATTTACATATGAACAAAAACAAAACAAATCTATGTAAAACAGTGTGATCTATGTCATAAAAGGAAATGTTTAACAATAAATAATTAGGACATGTTTGTATGTAATTTGATTTCTCTCTTAGTCTTGTTGTCATTTTCACTTCATTGCATGTTCGTGTGAATTTTGTGGTTCGTAATTTTTCAATGTATTCTATAAAATAAAAACAAGTCAGTCTAATAAAAGGTATCTAATTATACTGTTTGCCATTGTTGCTCATCTTTGTGTGGTTTCATCTGAGAAGTGACATGGAGGGGTTTGACACACTCGCACTTACAAACCTCCACATGTTCTAGAAAGTCTGAAAGGAACCTAGAGGGACTATACAAAGCCATTTTTAAATAAAATTCTGTATTCTAGGGATCTAGACATAGAACATTTCCTAGCAAAATTAAATAAATGCAATTGGTCATGTTCTTTGTAACTCAAAAGCAATTTGCTATTTATTTTATTTTAGAATTACAATCCTGAAACATTTCTGGCCGTGTAAGCTGCTTGACATATTTTTAACACTTACCTCAGCCTTTGTGCAAAGCTCTTGGTAATAAAAAATAGAACCAATTGAACAGACTGTGAACCCAAAACCAAACAGGAATTCAGAAAAACTTCATATTTAAGATATTATACTCTGCCTGACAAATGTCCAAGTTTTAGGAACAACAAATAACTTGACTTCTTGTTGACCATTTTGTATCAGAAGTAGCTTATATGAAAGGCAAATGCCTGTAGATTACACTTATTATACCAAAATTAAATATGAACATGCCTTGATTTTTAATGATTTAATTGGGACAGTAAGGTCTGACTTGGCTCAGACAAAAGTCTGGTCACTTTACAGAAATAATGTACAGTATAGGAAATAAAGTCATGCTGCAGTCACAGTGGGAAAAGAATTAATATTGTGTATGACTCAATCATGAGCTTGGAGGACTGCATCCATACATCTCTGCAATGACTTTAATAACTTATTAATAAACTCATTTGGAATGACAAAGAAAGCGTTCTTGCAGGACTACCAGAGTTCATCAAGATTGATGATATTGAGATACCCTCAATAATGTTCATTTCTGGTGACTGGGTTGGCCAATCCTGGAGCACCAGTTTCAATAGGTCTATTGCAGTATTTGTGATAAGTGGGAAGCAGTTCAACAGATGATTCATTGGAAAATCCTCCTTCTGCCACTTTTCCAAATGATCAACCAGAAGTCAAGTTATTATTTGTTGCTCCCACAACTGGGATCGATGACAAGACTTTTGTCAGGTAGTGTAGTTGAACACAAACTATATAAACACAAACTATATAGTATACAAGTATTGTTTAGAAAGATGCTTTAATTTATAAACATGTTTTGACTGATGTGTTTAGCTATAAAAGCGTCACCTACAGACATTTCCTAAATTCCATAAAATGAATGCTTTGTAATTTTAAAGATGATAAATAATAATAAAAAATACAATTTGAACTAAATAACTTAGTTTCATCTAGTTTTTCATTGTGAATTTCTCATTTTATTTCAGCCAATGAAAAAAAAAAAAAGTTCTACTCTTAGTTTTCTCGTCTTCTGTTGCACGAGTATATTTTTGGCAGAGTCAAAATTAGTGATTTTTCTTTTACACCAAAACAATTACAAAATTAAGTAATTAATGAAATTCCTACAGTAAATAAATCAAACTTTTTATTAGAAATATGCAGAGCTAAGATCTTAACTTTAAACACTATTTAGATTTTTTACCCCTTAAATTTTTGAATTTCAAATAGTAATTTCTAGCCACATACACTCACTAGCCACTTTATTAGATACACCTTACTAGTAGTAGGTTGGACCCCTTTTTCCATCAGAACTGCCATAATCATTCATGGCATAGATTCAACAAGGTACTGAATGTAATCCTCAGAGATTTAGGTCCATATAGATATTATATTATCATGCAGTTGCTGCAGATTTGTCAGCTGCACATCCATGATGGGAATCTCCCCTTTCACCACATCCCAAATGTTCTCTATTGGATTGAGATGTGGTGACTGTGGAGGCCATTTGAGTACAGTGAACTCATTGTCATGTTCAAGACACCAGTCTGAGATGATTCGCGCTATGACATGGCGCGTTATCCTGCTGGAAGTAGCCATCAGAAGATTGGTACACTGTGGTCATAAAGGGATGGACATCGTCAGCAACAATACTCAGGTAGAGTATGGTGCTGACACTATGCTCAATTGGTACTTCTGGACCCAAAGTGTGCCAAGAAAATATGCCGCACACCGTTACACCACCAGCCTGAACCGTTAATACTAGGAAAGATGGATTCATGCTTTCATGTTGTTGATGCCAAATTCTGACCCTACCATTCGAATGTTGCAGAAGAAATCGAGACTCATCAGACCAGGCAACGTTTTTCCAATCTATTTTGGTGAGCCTCTGGAAATTGTAGCCTCAATTACCTGTTCTTATCTGACAGGAGTGGCACCCGGTGTGGTCTTCTGCTGCTGTAGCCCATCTGCCTCAAGGTTTGACGTGTTGCGCATTCATAGCTGCTCTTCTGCAGACCTCAGTTGTAACAAGTGGTTATTTGAGTTACTGTTGGATTTCTATCAAGTTGAACCAGTCTGGCCATTCTCCTCTGACCTCTGGCATCAACAAGGCATTTGCACCCACAGAACTGCCGCTCACTGGATATTCTCTCTTTTTTTCAGATCATTCTCTGTAAACCCCAGAGATGGTTGTGTGTGAAAACCCCAGTAGATCAGCAGTTTCTGAAATACTCAGTCCAGCTCGTCTGGCACCAACAACCATGCCACATTCAAAGTCACTAAAATCACTTTCCGTCCCCATTCTGATGCTCGGTTTGAACTGCAGCAGAGTTGCAAGAGATTAGAAATTTGCGTAAATGAGCAGTTAGGCAAGTGTACCTAATAAAGTGGCCAGTAAGTGCTTTATCCAATGTTAATGAACCTCACAGCAGCTTCAGATTATGTATGAATTGCAAAAATGTACACTTATGATAAGGATCACATATAACTTTGTAGAGTAAATTTGAATAGCTAATTTTAACTAAGGCACACGTGTCATACTCAGTTCCTGGAAACCCACAGCTCTGCACAGTTGAGTTCCAACCCTAATTAAACGAACCTGATCATAATAATTGAGTGAGGCTTGTTTGAGTGTTAAAGCAGGGTTGGAACTAAACGGCCCTCTAGGATTGGAGTCTAAAATGAACCACAGATACTACTTCTCATGTCAGTCACAATATCAAAGTATGTGACGAACAGGTTGAAATATTTGAAACAAAGAAACAGTGCGTTTTGTGTTATGCTTTATTAGGCGAGTGGGAGAAGTGGTCTGACTGTAGAAAAAGATAGCAAGTTCTCTGGTCTAAGCTCCTCAACACAACTTATACAAACACAGGGTTTTTACCTATATATCGATTCTCAAAGCCAGGGCTCTTTAAATAGGGCTTTTATCAATGATAGATTTTTATTCTGTCAAATCAAACGCAGACACATAAACCAAATAATTTAATTATCCACTCAGCAAAAACCCTGAATTTGGTCAGTGCACATAAATTGGCATTTCTTAACACTTCATAAGTTAGACAAATAAAATAAAGCAGGTCTACAAACGCAGTTCCCTGGAAAAAAAAAAAAAGTCAATTCTCTTTAAATATGGGGTGCTGCAGACTAAGGCAACTTTTAGTCAATAAAAAGGGTCATCTATTAGTCTTACATACATATTATAGGAATGAAACTATACAAATGTTGTTGTTTTCTTCCTTCTCATTTACACTGTACACAGTCCGCATCTTTCATGTCTGGCAACAACAGCCAATACACATTTGTGTAACAATTATCCTACATTTTACATCCAAATACAACAAAATCAATATACAAACATACATAAGCACCCTTTCCTTTTTCCTCTTAAGGCCTCTTTAAGAGAGCTTGGACAAAAACTTGGATGAGAACTCAAGCGGAATGACTGACTGCAAAGAAGCATTAAATTCCTCATTTCCTTTACACGTACCTTGAATAAATCGAAAAAAACATGGTAAAACATTGCAAACAATCACATCGCATCCTTCTTTGTGAGATTTTAGTCCTTCTTTACATCAAAAAATAAACATGAGTACTTTTTTGGGGGATTTTGATGGACATAAGCAATCTTCATCAGACACACACACACATACGCGCTCACACACACACACACACCGCATACGTTACAACATCTTTTTTTAAATAAATTATTCCTTTAAACGTGTAGCAAGTCTGAAGATATTCACCCTCTTCTATATACAACATGATTGTCAAACCATCGACAAGCATGTCAAATCCAAAACCTCTAATATTATTAAAACCAAATTCAAGCGTCCATTTAAAATTCTAAATAAAATAAAAAGCAACAGAAAATAATAATTTAACTGGGTCAAAGAGTTTGTCCAAAGCATCGCTTTTGTATTCAAATTGTCCATAGTATGTACAAATGTATGTTTGTATGTATGAAAACAAACATTTACACAATAAAAGCTAAGAAACACTGCCCATAACTGCTACACTTCATGTGAGGGGGGGATGGTGAAGCTAAAACAATGAGAAAAACTGTAAATAAAAGGGGGAAGTAACTTCTTTTCTTGCTTTTTTTGGCTGGAGTGTCTGTTGGTGCTTTGTTCTGCTCTGTATATCAGAGGAAACCACCAAGACACAACCGGCATCCATGTTCTTCATGAGTTTTAAGTGCGGGTCACACTTTCCGGCCTGAGAGCCTTTCTCTGAAGATGAGGGCGAGGCCTTGGTATTAACAGGTGAATTTCCAGGGCTACGTCGTACACGTGAATGGGGATTTACTTCCATATCCGCCCATCCCTCAAGCCCAGGGAACACTTGTTTTTCTTTTTTCACCCCCCCATGAAGTTCTTGAAATCTCACGAAAGACATTGTTCACAGGCTCTTTGTGTTGATGTGTGTTTTGTAATGCTTTGTGAGGTGGTCGCTCCGCATGAAACGTTTCTGACATTTATTGCACTCAAAACGTTTGTCACCTAAAAGCAGAGAAAAAGTGTGTTTAATGGCAATTCATTGCATTTGTGTTTTGCGCACATATATATTTCAGGGTTCCCACTTTAAACCATAAAGCGAATTCTCCAACTTCCACCAACTACAACAAGCTTAATTTCCACAATCTACTCTACATCTTGCTGCCTTCATTTTTTTAGTTATATCAAATTAACTGTGAGTCATCTCAACTTCAGTATCAATCAAACTGACTAAAAAAATTAAAAAATATAAAAGAAAAGAATTAAGTTAAAAGTTGCATAACTTAAAAATTGAAGCTGAAACCTAATAAACTTATTAAAATAAGTAGCATAAAAACATTATCAATAGTAGTTAATCAGGCTTCAGCTAAAGTTTTTAAGTTATGCAAAGATTAACTTAACATTTTTAGTCAGTTTGATTGATGGTGAAGTTGAGATGACTAGAAAAGTCAATTTTATTAAACTAACAAGAATTTCTTAGTGTAATTTCCACAATAGGGTATATGCCAAATAGAGGTGTGAACCTATACTGGTCTCACGGTTCGGTTCGGTTACGATTATCATACCATCGATTCGGTTCAATTCGATATCTTGGTGCATCACGGTGCATTGACGATGCTTTCCATATACAGTTTTATATTTTAGGGGGGAGGCTATAACATGCTGTCTGTATAAACACACAGACACACAGCAACACACTGTCTCTCATTCAAACACATTCAAAAACATAGACAGCATCAAACAAACAAACACACACGTGCGCACACACACACACACAAACACACATACTTAAGCCCTTGCAACAGGGAGAGCTCGCACTGAGCGGAGCAGAAAACCAAAAAAAAAAAAAAAAAAAAAAACGACAAAAATAAGCACTTTTCCGACGGTCCCTTACTGAGAGCTCCTCTCAGCCCGAGCTCTGCCGGCTAAAGTAAACACAGACTGCGAGGGCTTAAACGGAGCAGTGCTCGTAATGTCGAGCGAAAAAAAAAAAAAGACAGCTGTGAAACATAACCAGCTTTGTTTTTCTGTAGGAAACACACTTTAGATCTTTTTAGGGTAAGAGGTTTTTGAGTTATTGCCGTCTATAATTGAATGTGTGTCAGGAAAGTCGAAAACAAAACCAACTGAAGCGCGCTCATTTCTGGCGCCCCCCTGGATGTACAGCGCCCTTAGCATTTGCCTATGGTGCCTATGCCACGGGCCGGCCCTGAGTTGGCTGAGTGTTGTAAATACCGGCGCTCACCTCCCTCACGACAGAGCGCATAGGAGATAAATGACGTCAGTACATAATAACCGGTTATGATTATTACTGAATCGATACCGAATTGTCCGCATCTGCATCGCGGTGCACCAAAGAAACAATTAATTTTGACACCCCTAATGCCAAAGCATGCTAACAGGACTTTTAATTTGCCAGTAACCTGGCTTAAACGCTTCTGGTGAACTCGATATGATATACGATATAAAGTGGGTCTCAGATTGTACAAGAAGCATTGCATTAAATTACATTTCCCCCACCATGTCTTTATAATATGAGCATTTATTTTACCCCAGTATATTCAATGGAGCTTCTGCACTAGCCTGCCGATTCTGACGGGTGTGTGCGCGCGAGTAAACGGCTTTTTGTCTTTCACGCTTGAGCAACTAAATTAATGCCAAAGTCTGTTTAACTGATTTTTTTTTTATTACAATACAACATCGATGCTGTAAAAGGAACCGTATAAGATGAAAAAAAAAAACTGACAATAACAGGTCACCGGAAGTTTATCAGCATGGGAAGAACACTAGCTCGGCATATACCCTATTTAAGGCCCGTGCACACGGGATGCTTTTTGCTCGCATTTTCGGTCGACGTTTAACGCCTCGTGACTAAATAAAGTGCGCCAATGTGATCATGCACACCAACGCGCAACACTAGGCGTAAAAGCTTCATTTTTCAAGAAATGCCTCGTGCTCATTTTTTCTCCACCAATCAGACTGGCACTTTTGTTCATGTGCACGGAGCTGCTGAAGTTACAGTAAACAGCACTTGGAGGCACTCAAGTGTCAATGCGAGCGCACATTGAAGATGCTCAAGGCGACATGAACGTGGAACTGCTCATTGCACTGATGAACAATAATCCTTTCTTTAACGCTTAAGCTAGAACTGCTACTTGAACCATTCATGCTTGTTCGAATCGCCAGTAACAACAAACGTGTCAACTTTCTCTCTTCTTCTTCTTCTTCTTCTTCTGTGTTACAAGCGGGTGTCGGAAGCTTAAAGTTGTGTAGGAGTGATTTTGCATACTCTTCTGCTCAACGCCAGTAAAAATCAATTTAGTCATCTGAATGTACTTCAAGCAGACTAAAAATATTAAGTTAAACTTTGTATAACTTAAATTTAGTTGAAACCTGATGAACTTATTAAAATAAGTCAAAGTAACAAAAAAAGCAATAAAAGTCAACAACTATTTTATATGTAAAGTACAATAAAATGTTTTTAGCTTGAAAATGTAAATGTAAAAATGTAATGTGTATTTATATAGCGCATTTATTGTGTATGGCAATACACCCAAAGCGCTTCACAATCATGAGGGGGGTCTCTCCACACCACCACCAGTGTGCAGCATCCACTTGGATGATGCGACGGCTGCCACAGGACAACAGCGCCAGTGCGCTCACCACACACCAGCTATTGGTGGAGTGGAGGGACAGTGATAGAGCCAATTCGGTGGAAGGGGATGATTGGGAGGCCACGATCGTAAGGGCCGATTGAGGGACTTTGGCCAGGACACCGGGGTTACACCCCTGCTCTTTCACGAGAAGTGCCATGGGATTTTTAATGACCACAGAGAGTCAGGACCTCGGTTTAACGTCTCATCCGAAAGACGGCGCCCACTGACAGTGTAGTGTCCCCTTCACTTTTACTGGGGCATTAGGACTCACACAGACCACAGGTTGAGCGCCCCCTGCTGGCCTCACTAACACCACTTCCAACAGCAACCTAGTGTTCCCTAGTGGTCTCCCATCCAGGTACTGACCAGGCTCAGCCCTGCTTAGCTTCAGTGAGTAACCGGTCTTGGGCTGCAGGGTGACATGGCTGTGACAAATCAGCATATTAGCCACTATACGGACAGCAATGGATAATTTACCTAAGTTTTTTTGTCAAAATCTGAGGTACTTCATGTTTGCAAGGCTGTGAAGTATTCGAATCGGTCATTTTGAATTGAAAACTCCTAAAATAAACATGATCCTGACATGTTGGCCTTAATTAACAGACACAATCTGGTGACTACCAGTGAGTTAGCATGACAGAAATAAAATGGAACATAAAATAGATCAACCATAAAAGTGAAACATTCCGATAAAGATACATTTTGATAAATGAAAGCTAAAATTAAAGCGAAAAACAAATCCCCTGCCTTTCAATATCTGAAATACATTAATAATGTGTTTTTGCTGTTCATTCAAACTACTTATTTAAAACCTGTGGGAACCCTGATATTTGGAGATTTCTTACCCGTGTGTGTCCTGGCGTGTCGCTGGAGCTCGTCACTGCGCGTGAATCGTTTTCCACAGAACACCCAGTTGCAGACAAAAGGTCTCTCTCCTGTGTGCAGTCGGACATGCGCTCGCAGCAGGGAAGTCTTTCGAAAGGTCTTTTCACAGCCTGCTATGTGGCAGATGTGTTTTCTTTTCCCCACTTCTCCCGGCCTGTAGCATAGAAAACACAAACATGAGATATGTCTGGACTGCCAAAATGTTTTTTTTTATTAAAGTCCCTGTGAACTAGAAATTGCTTAGACTTAATTCAGTATGTTGACATACTTCTAAATGAAACTAAATATTGAATAGGGGGTGGGGCTTTGTTTTGCACATTGTTCCCCTATAGCAAACTAACGATAAAGGGGGGTGTGGTTAAAAAAATATTGTGAACATTAAAAAATATTGTGGCTGAAGCCATCAAACTGACTTCGAGAGATGGACCACCACTCATAACGCGAAGCAAATGGTCCGATTTTGATCAAAGATTCATACCCGTCAACATTGGGATGTGAAAATAAAGGATATGCCCACCTTAATAAGGGATTCCCCAGACCCCCACTTGAAAAAAATCCCCAAATTACTAAATATGCTTATTTGAGGCGTTTTTTTTGTTGTTGTTTTGTTTGATTACATTAAATAAGAGGTGTCACTTTAAAAATGCCAACATCTAAGGTTATAATGAAAGCATTTGACTGCTTTCCTAACTGTTTATGCTCATTTAGGACGAAATTACTTGTGTTTGAAAAAAAAAAAAAAAAAAAAAAAAAAAACACCAAGATCGACATCTTTAGATATTATTATTAGTTATGTGTATATCTGTTTAAACATGCACTCAAAACCCAGACTTTTGCTCCGCTTTAAATTGCTAGTACAGAATTAGTTTGGGAAACAGCGCCTATTTATCATTATGGAGTGCGTCAGCTGACAGTCATGCAGCGCTATGACTGTATTTAGGATTGCATTAAGGGGCGACTTATTATTTTATTATTAAAAATAATAATAATAATCGTGCCATTTTTAAATTTATTTCAAAGTGTTTTCCTGTCTAAACAATGGGAAAGCACAGAACAGACTCGCATTTAAGAGCAAGAGGCGGCCCCTGGTGCTTTGGCGGTATGGGTTGCGTATAGGGAGGCTCAACTGTTTAAATATTTATTTGCCACCCTTCAGAAAAAGACTGAAAATACAGGAGAAATACATTTACGGGATGATAGCGGGATAGAACTGTAAAATACAGGAGAATCCTGGGAAAAATGGGAGGGTTGACAGGTATGAAGATTACCTAAACTACAATAACTACAATAACTTTGCGCTAACAAAATAAAGATTCTAAATATTGATTTCATGTGGACTTTTAACAGCAATTCATTACAAAATATCAATAAAAAAATAGTGAGAATTATTGTGAAATCTGCTAAATGATGGTACCGCTATGATGGTGCGCGCTAGAAACCTCCTTGAAATCCTGCTCAAAAGTGGCCTTTTTCATGGTTACTGGCTCATCTTGGTTATCAGACATCTCCTCGCACATTTTCACTGGGGATCATATTTACATACGCTGTGAAGTTTGTCATGATTTCTGCGCACTTCCTGGTTAATTCATAAAATATGTGGGACTACAATCAGGGTTTCTGCAGAAATCTTAAGTTTAAGACTTTAAGACATTAAGAACATTATGAATGAAATGTTTGACTTTTACAAGGCTAAATGCCAAGGATTTTTAAAAATATTCTAGTTAGAAAAGATTTTCACTTGCCCTTTCAAATTTTTTTTTATAAAAATTAATAAAATAATTTTTTATTTAATTTTAATTTTAATTAATTTAATACTACAATAATAATAATTGAGTTCTTTAATAATAATTTTTTTATTTGATTTTTATTCATTTTCAAATATATTCATTCACAAACCCTAAAACTGTTACCAAGAATAAAGCATAACATAGCTGTCAATTACTTCAGTCTACAAATAATAATAAAATTAAGAAAAAAAAAAAAAAAAAAAAAAAAAAACGGGAAAACTAAGACCTGTTAAAAAAAAAAAAAGATTTAAGACCTAAGACACAACATTTCAGTAGATTTACGACTTTTTAAGGCCTAAAATTTAGCTTTAGAGATTTAAGACTTTAAGACCTCGTGGAAACCCAGTACAAAAGATCAATTTTGTGGAATGTAAACAAAAACAATGGTTCCAACGTATTTCCTGTTTTACATTTTTAATTTCTATAGCTTCCGACAATCCCAAAAGAGCCACATATTGATGAATATTCTTATAATGGCAGTTTTAGCATTAAGTTATAATTGACTCGCCTCTTGTTACAGTTTTAAAATAGTTTGATAACAAACAGGAAATGTTCATGGGCCAATGACAGGACTACATTGAAATGGCCTATATAGGAGTTATTATAATAGATTATAGATAGCGAAATTTAGCGTTTTTTTATTGATTTAAAAAAAACATTTTCATAAAACACGAATGCCGTTCTGAACATATTAAAACATAAGCTTGATGGTTGTAAAAATTCGGAATATTTACAAAAAAATACTAATTTGTGCATCTACCAACTTCCGTGTGCAGCCATGCTGCCGTTGTAGCTGGTGTTTTCTAGAACATTTTCGTTCCTTATGGTTTTGAATGCTGCCCTGAAAAATCTCATTTTTAAAAGCTATCTAGCCCTTCCCCATCAGCCCTACGCTTTCAAGCTAAAGAGAATTGGGACACCCTTTCCCTTTCATGTGAATGCACAAAACAAGGGCTAGAGGTAAGGGGAAGGGCTAAGGGGCAGAATTGGGATTTGACCTCAGTGTTAAAAAGGGAATTTTATTTGTTTTCAATGCATACTGCATCAACCAGGAAACTGTGACCACAGAACTGTGATACAGACCAAAAAATGATGGACATGTTATATAGTTTGCCCATATTCCCCAGGCCTATTTGACACAGATTTGGATCAGTTTATGTCTATATAAATAAAAGCTTTCCTACTTCTTTTCTGCGTCCTTGCAGTTAGGGCATGTGCAGGCCATGCGCCGTTTCTTCTCTCCTGGCTGAGTCTGCAGCTCCAGAGCGAGTGTCTGCGTCTGCTCTATCTGCATGGTCTGTGTCTGCGTCTGCACACTGCCCAGCTGCAGACCTGCGCTGGGAACAGTCTGCACTGTCAGATGCTGCTGGCCTAAAACACACCAAACAAACAAAAAAATACATTAATGCACGTCTTTAAACACCATGTAAGATCCACTAGCTAATAGGCCAACTTTATTAACTGTCTCATTGTCATCTGATTTAATCACAGTTGTTTCAGATGATTGCGACTGCTGAAATTACTTTAGAAGGGAGTAGGTATGGAGCCAGATCAGTCTCAAAAATAATGCATTTACAAAATAAAAGATCATATATGAACACATACAGACCCTTACAGTCTCCGATATGTTACCAACTACAGAAGAACTACTCAAAGCAGACATTACGTTGTTAATTAGGTTCAAAACAACACAAAGTATAGCCTACAGTCAGTGAAAACCTCTCATCTGTGTCTGTAATCTTCAGCAGCACATGAAGCCACTGTTAGAGAGTCATTCCATCATTCCCAGTTCATATTAGTCCAAAAAGTGATAATAAAGATTAAAACAAGGCAGTTTGTTCACGTTTGCTGAAGAAATAATGTGTTCCTTGGCTTAGCCTTTTTTCCCGCGCTCCACTCTCGAGTTTGTCCTTTTCTTTCAGAATGTGTCACTCGCGTTTGTCAGCTTCTCACAGGATCGGGTTTCCAAAGCTTGTCAATAATCAAGTGCATGTTATTATTATCAGATCAAGAAGTATGTTATCTCAGATAGAGACGCGCGGCGAGTGCAAGAAAGAAAGCGAAACCACTCGGGCTTCAGACTGGCTCGTTAAAAACTACGCGGCACAGGGTGAATCTGCTCTTCTCCATGGCTTTGTGGCTGTTTATCATGACGACGACAGGGTTTGTTTGCAGGATCGACCATGGCTGCATATGTATTTATAATTCCGCTGTAATCTCTCGCTGTGTATTTCAAATATGGCGGGTCCTTTGTTTACATTCTGGCTTGTTGAGTCTACGAATGACGTATCTCTGTAAACCAATAGCGTTCAGCTGCTGTGTGTAGCTCCACTTTTTGGGACCCTTTCTGCAGTTTGGGACCCTTTCGAAAGGGTCCCAAAAAAGTGGTACGGTACGGTTTTGACAGTGGAAACGGCCATAAAAGCGTACCAAACCAAACCGTACCGTACTGTACCACTCAGTGGAAACGGGCCATAACTGGATTTGTGTATTTTTAAATGGTGATTTGAATTCATGAATTGGATTTGTGTATTTTAAATCGTGCTTTGAGTTTAAAAATTAATTTACGTTTTTTGAATAGTGTTGAATTTGTGTATTTTTTAATTGTGTTTTGAATTCACAAATTGGATTTGTGAATTTTTGAATCGTGTTGTGTACATTTGAATTATGTTTTTAATTAACAAATTGGACTTGTTGGTATTTTTAAATCATGTTTTAGGTTTACGAATTGGATTTGTGTATTTTTGAATTTTGTTTTGAATTTATTAACTGAATGTGTGTATTTTTGAATCATGATTTGAATTTATGAATTGTATTTATGAATGCTGTTTTGAGTTTTTAAATTGATTTATAAATTTTTGTTTTGAACTCATGAATTGGATTTGTGTATTTTTTAATTGTGTTTTGAATCTATGAACTGGATTTTCGAATCATTTAAAATTTCTAAATTGGATTTGTGTATTTTTAAATCATGTTTTGAGTTTACGAATTAGATTTATGTATTTTAGAATCCTGTTTTGAAATTACAAATTGCATTTTTGGATTTTAGAATGGCGTTTTGAATTTACGAACTGGATTTTTGTATTTTTGAACAATGTTATGAATTTATGAATTGAATTTGTGTATTTTTGAATGGTGTTTTGAATTTATGAACTGGATTTTTGTATTCTTGAATCATGTTAGGAATTTCCAAATTGGATTTTATGTATTTTTGAATTGTGTTTTGAATTTACAAACTAGATTTTTGTATTTTTGAATCATGTTTTGAATTTATGAATTGGATTTGTGTATTTATGAATTGTGCTTTAAATTTACGAATTGGACTTGTGTATTTTTAAATCATGTTTTGAATTCATAAATGTATTTTTAAATCGTGTTTTAAAATTGTATTTGTGTATTTTTGAATCGTGTTTTGCTTGTACGAATTGGATTTGTGTATTTTTGAATCGTGATTTTTGGACTTTTTTAATAATTTTTTTGAATTTACAAAGTGGATATGTATTTTTGAATCATGTTTTAAATTTACAAACTGAAAGTGTATTTTTTGAATCGTGTTTTGAATTTATGTATTGGATTTGTGCATTTTTGGTTTGTGATTTGAATTTATGAATTGGATTTGTGTATTTATGAATCAAGTTTTGAATTTATGATTTGGAATTGAGTAGTTATGAATCGTGTTTTAAATTTATGAATTGGATTTTGTGAATTGAGTTGTGAATGTATGAATTATACTTTGTAAATGTATTATTTTTGAGACTGATCTGGCTCCATATACTAATCTAATATAAATAACATATTCCTTCATTTATTTGAATTAATTATATTTTGCTAAATATTTGATGGGTGTCTGAGATTAGTCTTTGATAATTTTGTCACACTTATTACAATAAGGTTTCATAAGTTACATTAGTTAATGTATTAACTAACATGAACTAATTATGAACAATACTTGTATAGCATTTATTAATCATAGTTTAACATTTAATAATGCCTTATTAAGATAAAAATACCTGCTTGTTAACATTAGTTAATCCACCAGGAGTTAACAAACCAATGAACAACTGTATACTCATGGTCGCTCGATATAAGGCGCTTTACCTTCCACAGCCTCGCAGATTTGCTGCTTTGAGCAATTTCAGATGCTTTTTTTCTCACAGCGCATTATGTTCTGCATTTGAACTTTGAGAGTGTTTAAAAAAAAAAGAGAGAAGTGTGTAGTTAGGGGTTTTACAGCCTTAAAACATCTATAATAATAGTAAAAAATAAAGCTGTCTACTTTACAGATTTTGCCTATTGCGGGTTATTTTTATAACTTAACTCCCACGAATAACCTCTGTACTAACTAATGTTAACTAACATGAACAAATACCGTAATCAATGAATTGTTCATTGTTTGTTCATGTTGGTAAATGCATTAACTAATACAACCTTATTGTAAAGTGTTACTGATTATTCATACTTCATGATTTCCACTCATCTGAACACCCTCGCACCGATTTGCCTCTGATTTTGAGTATTTGCCAGCAATTCACAGAACACTTCAACGAATGAAAATCAGGGATAAAGTCAGTGTCTACTCTGCATTAGATACAACATACAACCCAAAAAGTGTGTCACTCACCCCCAGCATTGGTGATGGTCACAGGAACCCCCTGTACCTGGACTCCGTTGATGTTGATGGTCTGCACAGCCTGAGCAGCAGATGCTAACTGAGCTGCGTTCAGTGTTATCAAACCCCCTCCAGCCGGGGCGATTTTAGGTAGAGTCCTTTCTTTCCGCGTTCCTGTTTGAACTTTTTTTGTGACCACCGCAGGTGTTGGTGTGCTGGTGGGTGTTGTTGGAGTCGTAACAGTAGTTTCCTGTATCTGTACAGCCTGCCATTCCCCCGAGGCTGTTTTAATCAGCACCTGGAAAAGCAGAGCACATGCATTAGATACTTAAAGATCTCTCTGGACTTTTTACCAATGGAAACATCGGTATATATATATATATATGTATATTAGGCTAGGGCGGTATCCAAATTTTGATACCGTCAGACCGCCTCTATATTTTACCCCGGTATCCGGTATTACCGGCGTAATAAAAAAAAATTATGACGCAAGGCTCAGACAGCGTCACCAAACTGTTGGCTTAAGCCTAAACCATTCAGAAAATGAATACCTTCTATGCGACCTTAGGCTCGCGGTCAGAGAGAAAGAGGCTACGCAAAGCCTCTCTCTCTCTCTCTCTCTCTCTCTCTCTTACACACACACACACACACACACACACACACACACACACACACACACACACACACACACACACACACACACACACCTCTCCCGCGATTTATTCAGAAATTTATTAACACACCGTAAGAAATCTGGCCGGCTCCCACGGTACTGCAGCGGGAATGCAGAGAGCTGTAATCGGGTCATAAAAATTATACCCGATAGGTCCCGAGTCCGACAGGTACATTTTGATTGACAGCTTTATAAAGCCCGAACTCGTTTACAGCCCGACATTATTCAAATGTGCTCATGCACAGCTCTAATGCATTTTTTCAAGAATGAGTCATTTATATGTTTTTAGCAAAAGATTCAAAGTAGGTCGGCACACTGCCACTTTAGCTCTCAAAAAATTTTATTAGTCAAAATTACAAAAACACTACGTTTCGACCGACATGGTCTTCATCAGGTAAAGCGTTGCAAATGGAAGTCTGAAGTCTAAGCTGACAAGAGAATGAATGAATGAATTGTTGTATACTTAATATGTACATAATGTTTTTTGCCCCTAGGTCTACTGGCTTTGTTTGAGTGATGTGATTTTGTGCAGGTGTGATGTGCTATATCTATCTAGCCTATAGAATACTGTCTCCGAGGAATTCTATAGTGAGAATTTGTATTTGTATTTTAAATGTCTGTTTGTAATTGTATTCATGTTTTTCACATTGTTTAAGATGTATATTATTGTATGCAATTGTTCCTGTTTACCAGCTTGTTAGCTGATTGTGATAATTGACTGCAGGCGCTGTGTAGAGCTGTTTGTCTATTTCTGGAGGACTTCCATTTGCAACGCTTTACCTGATGAAGACCATGTCGGTCGAAACGTAGTGTTTTTGTAATTTTGACTAATAAAATTTTTTGAGAGCTAAAGTGGCAGTGTGCCGACCTACTTTGAATCTTTTGCTACTTATGTTTGTTTTTTGATCGTGCACCTGCCTTCAAGATTTTTCTAGATGTGCGCACATTTCTGTTTTTTGCATCATTTATATGTTTTAACATCATTTATTCGTAACAAACGTAGACTATATGCCACTTGAAAGAATAAACAAAGAAATAAAATAAGTCCTCTGTAACATTGTAACATCTCAGCACTCTATATAGGCCTGGGTACATACACTTAGCTTTTAAATTGGCCAACACACCAAAAGAAATCTTGCTTAACAAATCAAATTAAAATAAACTCTAAATGATGACGGGTATTTTGGCAATAACGAAATTAAGATAAAGGCTCTGCAAGGTTTGTTTCTTCTCTTCACAATCTGGCATTAGGGCGGCAGTGAAGCTGAATATTAAAAGAATAATGCCACCATTAGCCTGTCTACTCGGTCTACATTATGATTATATGGTTTGATTAATATTTATTTATAATTGAAAAACCCTTTACTCACCAAGATTAGGCTAAGTGTGTTTGTGGAGGAACATTAGTAAATTCACTGGCTTTAGCGCAGTCCTGCGCTCACGGGGTCCAGCAGCTGAACACCCTTTCCTGCTGCTACAGGTCGAGATGCAGAGTTCTGATCTGGCTGATTTTGCAAGTTTTGGGTAGGATTGTTCATCTTCTACCAGTCAGGAACATCCATTTAATTTTCCATGACTGTAGTTTCATTGTAGCGAGAGGCCTCGTCTTTTTACCTGTCAGCTTGCGCTTTAAGGCTCTACCGTAATACGCAGTGTATGAGCGACCGCGAAATACCTGCGGCTGGAATAACCGCTCCCTCTGAACTAGTGACTGACTTGACCGCCAACAAAATTCGCTTTTTTTACTACTTCGTCATCATTTGCTTCACCTTGGCAGGGATGGATTTTAATACAGGAATTTGGATTTTTTCGGGTCTCGTCGGGTTCGGGCAAAGATCTTCAGCTCTAATGCAGACCTCTCGTTCATATTAACCACGTCTCCCTTCTGTTCAGTAGAAACCGTAAATACTGCCAAACTGCAGGACACTTTGAAGCGCGACTCGTCACGTCACCTCTCCCTCTCCCCCTCTCCCTCTCCCTCTCTCCCCCTCCCTCTCCCTCTCTCCTCCACACTGTCCCGTGATGACAACCACACATACGTTTTTGTAGGCATTAAATAAAGGATATTCAATATTTTATGACGGTATAACGGTATTGAAACTCACACCGTTCCTATTTTTAGATCCCGCGGTATACCATAATACCGTAATACCACCCAAGCCTAATATATATATATATATATATATATATATATATATATATATATATATATATATATATATATATATATATATATATATATATATATATATATATATATATATATATATATAATAAAGGGATAGTTCATCCCAAAATGAACATGAACAATACTCTACATTACAAGAAACTTTACATTCACAGCTTAACTTCAAAAGAAAAGATAAAGTAAATAGTACCTGTGTGGGTTCTGGAGGAGACACCTGGACACTGGGCGTGACTGTCTGTCTCTGTGGGACAGGGGGAAGTGTAGCAGATGCAGCCTGTACCACTTTTAGAGCCTGTGGGGGGATCTGAACGACCTGCTGGTCTGATTTCTGCTGAAGCAACTGCACTTGCTGCACCACAGCAGGCTGACTCCCCCCTGGATTCTGCACGATCAGGAGATTATTTCCTGCCTGGGACAGGAAGACATTATTAAAAACAGATGCAAACAGGAAAGAAAAACAGCTGCTTGGACTATTGGGCAAATTTTATATATAAAAAAAGGTTATTTACTTCCTTGCCACTTTCATTGTGATAAATATTACATCCCAAAGTGTGTGTGTGAAATATGTGTACTGTATGTGTATATAACATGGTTTTCGCTACATTCATTCTTTCGTGGCGGGGCGCCACACCAAAATTCATCCCGCCGCAGCTACATTACAGCATCTCATTCAAAACATTCTGTCGTTTTTTGAAATAGCGGGTTATAATCGCACCAAAAATGTATTAAACGGTAAGTGAATTATAACAGCGCAAACCCTTCTGTAATCGTAGTAGTGCTGTGCGTTCAGTTTAACCCTTTAAGGTGATGTGCTGACTGACTGACTGACAGGTGCGTGATGCGAGAGGCCAGCAAACACAGCATAGCTTTCAGTTATGATGAACACAGTTTCCATAATTATACTTTATTTATAGATAAATGTCGGTGTGGCTCTGCATCCAATGATTTTGTCTTGCTGGAGTTTATAGCCATTTCACTTTACTTCCGGACCCATTAATGCAGCTCTGTAAGTCTATTGGAGACATTCATTAATATTCCTAGTAAATCTAATAAATGTTGGAGACAAACTTGTTACAGAAACGTACAAAATCGCATTTCAGCAGTGTTTTTTTGAGGGCGCGCAAGAAAATCTGCACTTGAGCAGCGTATATGTTAGGGTGCGCAAGACGTTATGTGCATGAACAGAGGAAATTGGCGCTCGAGCAGAGATTGACATGCTCGTAGGCTATTATATGAACGTCATCTCGACTTAATTCTTATTTCATGACATTTGTCAATGAAATAATGGTATATGTAGTAGTAGATCTATGTAAAATGTCCAACAGAGTCTGCCGCCACAGCTGGAAAAAATCCAAGAGGAAACAGTGCATAGATATGTGTATGTGTGTTTGTGTGCGTGCGTGCGTGTGTATATATATATATATATATACACATATACACACACAAACACACGCACACACGTATATATATATATATATATATACATACATACATACATACATACATACATACAGTACACATACATTTATTTCACACACACACTTTGGGATGTAATATTCATCATAATGGAAGGGGCAAGGAAGTAAATAACCTTTCTTTGACACACGAGCCAAAACACCATTTACATAGACCATCCAAAACTGTGACAAATAAACAACTAAAATCTCAAGTAAACAATTATTCAATCTAAACATTTATCATAATTGCAATAAACTAAAATGTATTAACATAGTTGGAGTACGCTGATTTTAATCGGAGTGTACAGCCGACATGGTACATTCACACAGCTGGATGCTGATGTCTTTATCATCACAGCAGCATCATCCAATAAAATTAGCTACTATTGGCTGCCGTCTGAGCTGGGGTATTTGCATGAAGTGATCTGATTGGCTGACACTTTGGTTGGCGCTTGAAAAGTTGAGAAATTCACAACTTCTGCAGCAAGCCACAGTGCAGATGTGGAGCTGATGGATCCCCAACTCGCCAATAGTTCGGCAAACCTTGACGTCACCCATTCAAAGTGAATGGGAAGCACAGATGACGACATACCATGTCATGTTTGTGCCATTCCAAAGCGCACATGAGGGTGGCAGTACAGTGTGCCATCTGTGAAATACACTTTCAAAGGAGTTCATTGCTCAAGTGGTCACGTGCACAAATACTAATTTTCTGAGGACTCATTCAAAGACAAAGTAGTTCACACTGTACGAATGATATGTCACATTCTGACACTTTTATTGCACTCAATACTGTTGAACACAACTGACTGACACATCTGCTCCCTCATCTACAAACAGTGCACAGAATGTGACTGAAGTGCAGACAAACCCAGCTGAACTGGATTAAAAATCACATTTCTATAGCACCAGAAATAGCACGGAATAGTAACAGATATTCAAAGTACATCATTTGTGCTGTGAAGTGAGACGTGAATAATGGCGGTGGTAAGAAAAACAACCACAATTCATAAGAAATAAAATAAATAATGAATATTGCATGTAAACAGGATTAAGAGTTTTGCTCCTGATGTGTAAACATTCTTTTGTAATTAAGCCTTTACTCTGATTGTTGGAAATAATTGCATCATTCGTGCGCATGTAAACATAGTCAGTTTCAACAATGTTTTTTTTAAACCTGCAATAAAAGAAAAGTTTTCTGAAATCTCAGTTGATGACGTACACTTTTGCACTGTATGTGGGACTGGCCGAAGAGGTGGCTATGCTTATTTTACAGATAGTATCTATAAACCTACCAGGTTAAACCCCCTTGTTTCCAAATATTTATTTAAATAAAACCAAGTTAGATAATAATCTGATGTATGCCTTTTACGAATATACATTTTCAACTATTTCTTCCTAATGTAGTATTATCTGGAATAATCTGTTACTAATTAAAAACAACCTGCACAGAAACAACCCGTTACAGAATTACTGCATTAATTATTGTACAATTATGTCGAAGGTGTTGCAGGTAAATATAGACAAATGTCCTTGCTGTAGCAATTTATGGGGTACTGAATATTTGGTCCCAGTTTAATTCTAAACAGCTTAATATTTTAGCCTTTACCTCATTATTAACTAGGTGCCGTATTATACTTTACTGGAAATCAAAGAAGCCTTCAACAACATTACAATGGCTTGTAGATGCCATGGTTTTTTCAAAAGTTGTAAAAGGTAAAATCCTCTAGGAAAACGACTTTTTTGAAAAAGTGGCAATGTTTTATAATTTACTTTAAGTCTCAACATCTTGCCTTATATTTAATAAATGCACTATCCTTCCTTTAAATGTATTTATTTCTTATTTTATTTGTATTTTGTTTTAACTGTTATTGTTTAATACTGTTTAATTGTACATATTTACTTTTAACACTGACAATGTAAAATTAAATGTATCTGAACATGTGATTGTAGTTGTTGAATGACTGCATTCAGTTGGTTGTAAGTAATTTTCTGTACACTTTTATTACTCTTGTTTCCATTGTTCTCTTTCCCTAATTTTTTTTTTTAGTTTTCCTTTTAAAAAAACAACAACAAAGATACAGGCTTCTTCGTCGAGTGATCAGTGTGTCTAGGCATGGGCTGGTATAAGATTCTGTTGGAATGATATCCTTGGGTAAAATTATCATTGTATATGTTTCACGGTATTACGATTGCTGCTCTAAAATATATTCTTTTTAAATGTCTGGGTAAAAAAACTAAACTTTTTTTTTCATTTCATTCCTATTTTCTCTTGAGAAACATTTAAAATATTTTGGAGCAGTAAAGATGTGAGGCTGACTAATGAAAACAAATCATTGACTTCTGCTGTCTTCATTAGTTTCAAAACAACAGATTTCTTTACAATTTAAAACAGCATTTTTTGATATATTTTCTGCTTGAGATACTACTGTCCAAAAAAAAAAGAAAAGAAAAAAATCTTTCAGTTTTAAAATCTTGACTTTTCTAAACCGCAATATACCTAGAAAACAGTTATTGTGTCATGGCATGACAAGGGCCAGACAGAATCTGCGGACATTTTTAAATATTTCTGCGCAGAATTTTGTTAAAAATCTGCGGATTTATGCAGAATCATTTTGGGAGTATCATAACTAAAACCTTAATATTTGAACTAGGGGTGTCACGATCCTCCAAATCCTCGATTCGATTACATTTTCGATTCTAAAGTCACAATTCGATTCGATTTTCGATTATGAATAATTAATTAATTAATAACGAATTAATTATTTGTAGCCTACCGTTTAAACTACCTGACTTGCATGGTCTTTGTTTTACCATTAAACAAATCATACAGTAAATGAATAAAGGTAAGTTACACACATAATTACCACCTGTCAATCACTTTTTTCTGCGGGACTCGTGAATAGGCAGTGATCTGTGTCGTTATAATGGCGTCGGTAAAAAAGGTGCACAGCCAACAGGAACCAGCCAACAGTATCTGAGGTGTTCGCTAAAATGACTAAGTACTTGTGTGAAAGAAAAAGATGGAAGCAGTCTACTGACCCGCTGACTGCCTTGACTCGCTGACAATGTGTGTGTGTCTGTGTCTGTGTGTAAATGAGTGTGTGTGGTCACGTGATGTGCGTTTTCAGGGGCAGTGAGGAAGGAGGGCTGCTTAGAAACGCTACACGCCAGTGTGGATGTGGATCGTTGTCGTTCTAAAATGCCATTTAAAAACAAAGACATATTAGTGTAAACAGGGCCTGAGTGTGTATTTTTCCCAGAGCGGATTTGCAACGGGTGTGGGGCGGAGGATCGCGATGCGCCCATCGTCTATCATCCCAACCGTAATACGTACATAGCGGAGCTTGCAAACTGTGTTTTTTTTGTCGACAACACGAACGTTGTCAACATAACTAACTGGAAATCCAAAATACTTCCACACCAGCGACTTCATTGAAAGAGGAGAGGATTTAAGCTCTGTCGACGGGTCTCCTGCGTTTGCAGTTTAACAAGCATGTTTTTTTCCCGCTTGGCAAGCCAAGCTAACGTGACATGGGGGCGTGGCAGCATCAACGATTCTATTTTTTGATTCGATAATCAAAGTTAAGCATAAACTTCGATCGATTTCGATTAAAAATCGAAATCGTGACACCCTTAATATGAACTTAAAAGTAATAGGTCAGACCATATGCATGCGATTGACGCAGAAGTATAAATCAGTCGTAAAGGTGCAGTAGGTAGTCTTCCAAAATGCTTTCCGCTTAGCGCATTATCTTTGAATGGCGGGGAGGGACTGTGTTTCGAAGCCACGTCTCCTAAAATCGCGAACGCGTGCACCGCAATATGACAGAAAACAGCCCACTAGTTCATGCCATTCGCCAGTTAGAAATGTAGTTAGTGTTTGGCCGGCGGCGTGCAGGAATTTCACTTATCACTAAGCCAAACTTACATGCTATTTCAGAGCGAATATTCAGAGTAGCATGGTAAACAATATAGGAAGGCTGTCATTGTTCAAAAATAAACCAAAGTTAATATAAAAGCAACTTCAGCTCAGTAAAGCAGCCCAGGCGGAATAGTGCTCTTAATTGACGTTCTGTTGTTAAACTAAATATAAATCTACATTATCGATGCTGTTAAAGGTCCCTTATAAAGCTGAAAATAGTCACATCAATCTATCGCCAGGAGATTTCAGTGGCTGAACAACAACACTTCTGTGCATATAACCCATTCATAACACAACCCAATCTACATCAGCTTTGGGGGACTAAAACAGTAAACAGAACATTACCCGTCTAACAGAAATACTTCAGACATGGTGTCGTCCTTCCTCCAGCATGCAAAAGTAACTTCAATATTGATTCAGGATTTCAAAAAGTTTTAATTCAGCATTTGATTTTACCGCGACTGTCTCGTGTGCATGTGTCATGAACGTTCAGCGCTCATGCAGGAGGGAATGCGCTAATAGCGAATATGCGTGAACAGAGATGTGCAAAAGCCCAAATCTACATTTGTTGACAGACAGTTGGAACAACTTATTGGAATTATGAGAGATGTCAGCCCAACAATATTTAATTGGATGAACAATTTTTTGTTTTATGCCTCAACCAGAACATAAAAATATATATAAAACCATTTAGATAATTTACTATAATCATTACTACTGGAATGTGAAAAGACTTTCAATCAGCACAACCAAAAATGTTTCTGATGACAATCACCTACTGCACTTTTAACGATATGTAACAATGTGTATTGTAATAGTGTTTGTTTGGGGTGCTTTTTCGCGATAATAATTTGAACATAAAAACAACCTGCACCTTTTTTTCCTCATCTCTTTTTTGTTTTGCATTGTTTTTCTTTTTAAACTAAAAACAAAGATGTAAATATGATTGTGTTTATAGTCGCATTTTTGTTTCAAACTGAATAAACACACTAGTGACATAATGTTTCGCTTACTTACTGTATAAAAAACAAACAAAAACAAGCTTTTCAGACATCCAAAGCACAGAAAGGCTCATACCTGAATAATGTTGTCAGCTGTGGTCTCTATCAGCAAGGCCTCGACCTGCTCAGCTACAGGTGGAGGTGAAGCTGGTTGCGGGGCAGGTGCTGGCGCAGCTATAGCCACCTGTCTTTTCCTTCCCCTTTTAGGCTTCACTGGAGCTGCTGCAGTCTCCGTTAGAACCTGCGCTCCTCCGACATCACCAGTGGTCACATTGAGAGGAAGCGTGAGTCCGCTGGGGAGTCGCACAATGTTAGCATTCACGCTAGCATTATTCTGCCGCCGTTTTTGGGTGGACGGCTTGATCGCCACCGTTTTATGCTGGGGGACCGGGGCCGGGGCCAGAGGTGGAGCAGTTGGTGTGGCAGCCTGAACTGTGACGGGTGAGGTGATTATGGCCTGGTTGGTTCCTGGGATGATTTGGATCTGTCCTCCCTGAGGCATCATCTGAATGGTCTGAGAGCCCTGGAACTGAGGAATCACTTGGTACTGGAAGTTAGCAGTGGATGTGCCTGCTGGACGTGAAGGGCTCTGAAAAGTGAAGACAATGGGACTGGCCCCTGATGAGCCAAGTCCTGCGGGCAGCTGGATTATATTCCCTTTGGCTGAGAGGAAGCCCAGGTTTTTGGGTGGAGCTGGAGCAATGGGGGCGGGTTTAATCGGGTGCAGACGGCGTGTGGTTGGCTGAGATGGTGGTGTGCTGACTGGAGCCTGGGCAGCAGGTGGCCCAATCTTACTGCAAGTAGCTGCCAAGAGCGCCAACGGGGAGGGCTGTGAGTCCTATATGAAAGTATGTTGATACAGGATTACTTCTTTTAAATGACATGATACAGAATCAATATTCAAAATGCAAACATGGCATCAATGTTTTCAGGAAATTGCATTTTTTGCTGTTTTAAATGGAGATGAAAGCAATATTGTTTTGAAGAACTTACATTGTGAAAACTGGTTTGCATTCTCAGTCCCCTAAACTGACGCTGTAGTGAAATCAAATCACCAAAACCAAAAGAAATTTTTCACTTTTGATAAACTTTCCTCCAAGATAACGCTCAAATATTATAATGCAAGTATGAAGAAAATACAGCAATATTTCATAAAGCACGAAAATAGAAATATCCTGAAGTACACATTACACTGGTACAGCTATGCAAGAGAAATTTGAGAGAGTTGTCAAATATACTGTTTATTAAGTTTCCTTCAGCTTAAGTCCTTTATTCATCGGGGGCCACAACCGTGTAATGAACCACCAACTATTCCAGCATATACTTTAGGCAGCGGAAGATCTTCCAGCTACAACTAGGAAACATCCATTCACATATACACACACTATGGCCAATTTTGTTTACCTGATTCACTTATAGCACCTGTCTTTAGATTGTGGTGCAAACCAGAGTTAAATATGCTGTTTGATTATACCAGGATATTAATACAACAGCAAATAACCAATTAGATTTTATTAATTTGCATAGTATTATTCTTCAGGAAAATGACAATTTTTGCTGTGCCCAAACAATCCCTTCACTCTGTGACATTACAAACAGACATCCGTACATTGCAAACAGTTGTGATGATTACCATATTTAAAAACTGCTGAAACATTTTTTAGATCACAGAAAAGTAATTTTAGAAAACAATAACAATTTCCAACAAACACGGCATTGTTTCTGATAAATAACACACTGATTTCTGAGGTCATGAGATTCCAAATGTTGACAGGCACATTTTGTAACAATAGCTGGACATCAGTGTCTTTTTGATCAATAAAATACATTATTATTATTATTTATTTATTTATTGTTCAAATAGCTTTTTATAGGTTTTGATTATAACCACTTTAAGGCTACCCTTCCCCATACATTTTTATTCAAAAAAAGAGAGTTAAAGTCAAAATTATTCTTTTTTTCAAATATTTCCCAAATTATGTTTTACAGAGCAAGGACTTTTTCGCAGTATTTCCTATAATATTTCATCTTCTGGGAAAAAGTCTTATTTATTTTATTTCGGCTAGAATAAAAGCTGTTTTAATTTTTTTAAACCATTTTAAGGTCAGCATTAGCCCCTTAAACAATATTTTCCCCATAGTCTACAGAACAAAGCATCATTTTTATTTGCCTAATTATCCTTGCCTGGTAACCTGATTAACCTTAATTAAGCCTTAAAATTACACTTGAAGCTGAATACTAATAATTAAAAAAATAAAATCTAATGAAATATTAGGCACTGTCATCATGGCAAAGACAAAAGAAATTAGTTATTAGAAATTATTAAATTAAAATTATTATTTTTAGAAATGTGTTCTTCTTACCGATAAACAAATTGGGGGGAAAAATTTTATATATATATATATATATATATATATATATATATATATATATATATATATATATATATATATATATATATATATATATCAGAATTTACCAGGAGAATATATTCTGTATATTTAAAATCATATTTTGGCAGAAATATGAAATTTACTATTGTCCTCAAAAATAATTTAATATCAGTTCATCCTTAAAGCAAAATATAGAATCGTGGGATCTTACTTGAGAAGTGGTGGTGGAGGGCTGAAGATATTCACTGGGACTGACTGCGACAGTGGTGGCCATACTGTCCTTTTGATCTGTGAGAAGACAAAGGTAAATCTATTCATGCAATGAAAAGATCAAAACTCTCCAACTGTGAGAACAAAATAATCCAAGACATTTGAGATCATATTAATCTGTTGCTTGCACAATTTTTAAAGCACCACAACATTTCAATCAAAAGTGCGTGAACAGAACTGAAAAAAAACAAATGTTCTGACTTTTTTGTTCAAAATAAAATAACTACTAACAGCATGCACTTTTTTTTAGTTAGGACAAGTGTAGCTAAGGAGGCGTTACCTGAGATAATCTAAACCCCCGAGAGCAGTGATTCAGCGAGGCAGGGTTTAAAACTCAGTCCACTAATAGCACACAGTGGCACTTCACAGTGTAAAATATATTCAATCCTGGTCCTCAAGTGCTGGGCTATTCCAGAATTAGCACTGAGATGCACAGCTTTAGTATATACACATCTATGGTAAACATCCTGAACTGACCCCATATGTGGACAAATATCTCCGGTCACAACCAAAACAAACGCTTGCTGTTATGATGCTTTCTGACGGCTGTCAAAGCGAACAAAACAAACTCGACATGTTTATGTACTGGAAAGCGAACAAAAACTCAATGCGTGCATGTATTTTAATTACATCAATTTTATAGATAGTTTATAGGAAATATTTTGCAAGTTCGATACATTTAAAACTTGTTCTCATAACGTTTCATTCATTTCTGATTTATTTTCCTCAGTATGAAAATCCCGACGGTATCATTAACAGCCAACGTGTGTGTTTTTACACTACAATTTCAACAGCACTGAAGAAAAAAATGTTTTAATGACTATGTGGCTTGATAAAAGATGCAAGCTGCTAACGCTAACAAGCTAAAACGTCAGAAGCCTGCAAGTGGTTGAGCTATGCTAATTGAATGCTTTAAAATATCTCATCAGTTTGATTTTATATTTAGTTTTTAATCAGTCGATCACGTGTTTACGACTTTTTTACGAGCATGCAGACCGCTTTATAAGGGTTATCCTGACTGCGTGCAGACAGACTCAAGAGTGCGCTGATGGAGGAGGAAACTGCTGGCTTAGCATGCTAAAGTGCTAACTAGCCAGATAAACTCTTCGCTGCGGAAAAGAACAGTGATTCCGGAAGTGTGCATTTATTTGAATCGCAGTGCTACGTTTGATTAAAAAAAACTCATGCGTGCGAGCTACGATATTTAACATATATCGGTCCGTTCGCTCGTGAAAATGTTTAAGAAAGTAACATTGTAATATAAACATCAACGTTATAATTCCTACCCACCGCTCATGACGACATTCACTCTCCGTGAAGCCTTGAAGAGCCCACAAAAGATACCGCCCCACCGGGGTCTACTGGCCAATCAGGTTACTTGTCAATCATCTAGAGCTAAAAGTGATAACCAATCAGAAAACAGTTTTTGCCTGATTGACATTTGTTCTGACTAATGAAAAGACGTCGTTTTTCTATGACAGTTGAAGGATATATGTTTGACCAATGGGTTGTCGAGTTTTTAGTAGAGAGGCGGGGGTTGTGAGGCTATCAAAATAATGAGGCGAACCAATGATACGCAGGTATGAATTTAACTGACTTTTCGTTTAGCCAGTCAGAAACGTAGAAAGGATATCAATCAAAAGTAATTGACAACAATCGCTATTAATCAACCTTCGCAAATTGTGTCGGTTTTGCCTTGCATTATGAACGCAGGTGGCCGGGCGACTATGTCTTCTGAAAAGAGTTACAGAACCTAAAGGTGATGGACAAACACCAACATGTTTTAATTCTCCAAAATGAAATTGTTCTGTCTGTAAATGGAGACTTTTGTTTGTAATTGCAATATTAACTTTAGCCGGTACTAGTGTTTAGGCGTTCTTAACTCGTTTACTGTCTGTAACGTTAATGAGAATACAGTTGTGTGTGCTGCTGTCCCATAATGTTTAGGATAACGGTAACCCCTCGGTAAATGTGTGATATTACCAATATATAGTGATTTGAGCAACAAGTTAGTCATACGAAAAATTAATAAATAAACAAAAGACAATTCAAAAAGTCATGGAAACTATATTTACCTTCGATCGACCCACTAGCCTCAATCAAGTTTGGGTTTTGGCCGTTTGTAAGAAAAAGTTAGGGCACCGCTTGTTTTGGATAGCCCTTAGGTAAAGTAAAATGTGTGACATTACCGATATATAGTGATGCTAGCAACAAGAAATGCAGTTATATAAATTATTGGTGTTATTACAAAAGTATTACTAAAGAAACGCGTTATTTCAGATTCCTGGAATCACTATGATTGGATGTGTCCAACAAATAAAAGTATCCAAGTGACTAAAGAATGGAAAAAAAAAACAGCAATTCAAAAAGCAAGAAGTACTTTCTCTATTCATTTGCCAATAGAGATTTACATAAACTGCTGTTATTTGGTTTGTTTGTAATTTATATATCTTTTTGGCATAACATAACATTGGTGCCATCTTTTCAGACACTGTAATATTAATTTTTAGATACGAAAATGTATTTAATCCAGATGTTTTAAGAAATTGATATTTGGCAGAATGACCTCAATATTCAATCACAACAAACATTGAAAACATTTGTTATTCTTACTAATTGTATTTTCGGGAAAAGTAAAAATTCTATAAATGGCCATTTTTATACAAAATTTAAAGAAATGTTATCTTGATGTTTACATAATGAATAGATCAGATATACTCAAAGTAGGGCTCGTGGCCAATTGTAACCTTTGATTTGGCAATCATCCTAACTTACTGGATAGTGAGAATGATGGAGAGGGTTGGGGTGAATGCCTTAAACAGAACGTCATTTCTAATTTGACGTAACATTTTTTGTTAGTGCAAAGTCCCATTCATCGCTGCTTGCAGCTTTACTTTGTTAGTTTTATTGCTGAGCTACAAATAAAGCAAACTAAAATTAAATGACTAAATCTTGTAAAAGAATCTTTGAATTTTTAAAAATGTAAATACTGTCATTTAACAGATAGAGGGCTATGCAGAAGATATTGGCGAGCAAGTTAAGCCAAAAACAAGTGTAATTCTGTTAGAAATGGGATTTTGCTTTTACTGTAATAAGTTCATTATAAAATGTAAAAAAATTTATATATATATATATATATATATATATATATATATATATATATATATATATATATATATATATATATATATATAAAATCACCATGATTGGATGTGTTAAAAAAAATAAAAGTGTCCAAGTAACTGGATGAATAAACTATTCAAAATGCAAATTGAGAGGTGTTCACTTTTTTCAGGCTGATTCCAGAAGTATTTTTTCCATTCATTTGTAAATCCAATAGAGATTTACAGAAACTATTGTTGTAATTTGGGTTGTTTTTAATTTAAATATCTTTTTTCGGCATAAAATAACAATGCTGACATCTTTTCAGACATGTTAATATCAATTATCAGGTACAAAAATTAATTTAATCCCTATGTTTTAAGACATTGATATTTGGCAAAATAAGCTTGATTTTTCAAACTACAACAAACTTTCTTACCTCTGTTATTCTTACCAAATGTCCTTTTGAGAAAAATGAAAATGCTATAAAATGGCCATATTTGTATACAAAATTTAGAAGAAATGTGACACTTTACAATATGTATTTACTAACATGAGTTAATTATGAACAATACTTGTCCCGGATTTATTATTCATAGTTCAACGTTTACTAATGAATTTTTAAAATCCATATTTATGCTTGTTACCATTAGTTAATGCACTGTGAGTTAACGTGACCTAACAATGAACAACTGAATATTCATCAACAAATACTGTAATAAATGTATTGTTAATGTTTTTTTCATGTTATTCAATGCATTAACTAATACAACCTTATTGTGAAGGGTTACCAGTGAGTATAAAAATTGTGCTCAAACCCATGACATGACCTTTTTTTTTGTTAAACCCCTTGTGAGCTGTATAGACCATTTCAATGTGGTCATGTCATTGGCCCATAAACATTTTCTGCTAATCAAACTAGTTCATAACTTCAACTAGAGGCGATTCAATCATGACTTAATGTTAAAACGGCTAGCATAACATTATTTATCAATATGTGGCTCGTTTTGGATTCTCGGAAGCTACAGAAATTATAATTCGTTGGGGAATTTGAAATACGTACGTTGGGGCCATTGGTTTTGTTCAAATCCCTCAACATGGTCTATGCTGCATAATCTTGTTCAGGACACTCTTGTAAAAGATCTTTTAATCTTAATGTGCTTTTTTCGTGGTAAAAAAAGGTTATAATAATTATTATCATTAATATTGCCGGTAAAATCATCAAGCAATCACTTAATTAAAAACATGTTTGACAGACTTTGCTGCAACTGTGCTTAATATATTTTTCTCTTCTGTAATATAGTTTTTCTTATATTTTTCTCAAAGTTCATGTAGCAGACAGGTTAAACAAAGTCATATTCAATCAAACCTTACAACAGGCCTGTCTTTAAATGTCTATCGGGTAGTGTTAAAAATCACTTTCCTCTATGGATCAAATGAATGGATTTTTTTTTCATCTCTAAAACCTTTTCTTTTAGAAAAACCGGATCCATCCAATGGAGATATCAGCGCGAATAATGACCAAAATTATATATAGCGTGGAATAAGTAATCAAATATACCAGCACTTATTTTCAAGTTTACTTTGTCTTTTACTCAAAATACAGTTCATGTGGCCTGATCAGACTGAAGTTACAATCAGGGAAAGAACAAATAAAGGGGTCACACACTCCACCCAGGGCAAGGGGGCCTGATGGGGAAAGAAAGAAGAACCAAACAGAGACGGATTCACAAACTGGCCAGTTTTTAAAAACTCCAGCGTAATATAACCTACAGATGAAGGCGTTTGCTAGTACCCCAAGTCAAATGTCCTCAGTCCGTATCTTATTTAATTTAATATTTGAAGTCCACTTTTAGCAGTCTTTCGAGTCCTTTGTCGATCAAGTCAAAGTCTCTGAATTTGATTTGCCTGCTCAACATAGACAGTATTCCAGCACTCCTCTGATCTCCCTCTGTCCGATATTGGTCAAAGAGGAGATGCCAGTCGGCTGATGTTCATTGGCGTCTGCTGGAAGACTGGCAGGGAGCTGTGCACCAGGAAGTGTCCATGCGCTGTTCCATCCAATATCCACACATAGAAATTCTGCAAAACAATCCATTTGTGTTTTGTTAATCGTTTTTTTTTTTGTCTGCAGGACATTGAGTAACGTGGAACTTCATAGCTGAAGGCGCTTACAGTGAAACGGACCGATCCGGCTGGCTATGTTTCAGACTCTGCTTCCTGTTCCACTCCTGCTGCCTGGCGCATGCCTTTGATTGACAGGTACATCTCTTCCTCTGGATCATAGTAATAGAACTTCCTCAAGTAGACAATGAGCGGTCTGAAACAAAATAATATGAGTTATTCTTTATTGACACTTTAGCTATATTTCCATACACCTATTTTTTGCACACTTTGAATATGCACATTAAAAACGGTTGATGGAATCACTACTGTAGATGTGCATCAGTTTTTAAAATACGCATAAAAAACGAATGTGCATAACTGAGTAGTTTGCTTTTTGTAATGATAGAACAGCATATACTGACAGGAAGTGAAATTGGAAATAGCTGGGGATGGGATTTGGAAAAAGTCAGGACTTGAACCCACAACATACCTGCGTTATATGCCAACTTGCATACATTTTTTGGTCCAGGTCTCAAATGAGCACCTGGAGATCTTGCTTGGCACAGCCACGCCATATAAACTCCCATTTAAATGAAATGTTGGAATATGCTATATATTGCACTTTTATATCTATTTTGTATATAAACATGAACTTGTATTTTATATATGTGATATGCATATACTGTCACATTTTAGTTATCTATATGCAGGATCAGTTGGTGCTTTCACATTTGGCTTGATTGCCTGGTTCGCACCAGAGTTCGATTGACGCCCACCAACCACTAACACACTCAAGTTTGAACTGTAGACTTTAAAAATGTACGTTTTACATAGTCTGTTTATCATGAATGTAAAAGTTCAAATGAACAAGATGACTTGTTTTTTAGCTGATGTTGTGCAAAATAGATAAACTTTCTCTCAGTTTAAAACACGTCAGTGATGCGTGCCAGACAAATTAGTGATTAAACGCCTAAATTCACTGTTTGTACTTTGTTTCTTTTTTCTCTGAATACAAAAGAATATATTTTGAAGAATGCTATGTGGCCCATCAAAAAAAAGTACTATGAAAGTCAATGAGTGCCAGCTACCAGCATTTTTTAAAATATCTTATATTTGTGTTCAACAGAAGAATGAAACTTAAATAGGTTTTGAACGAGTGAAGGGTAAATAAATGAAGACAGATTTTTTGGGTGAACAATCGCCTAATAGCAGCTCACTTCCATGATTTGGTGCGATATGAACCGTCCCAGAATTTGCATGATCTGCACACCAGGGGTCTCATGTATTAATGCAAATACAAACAAAAAATTAGTGTACGCCAGATTTCAGGCTCACTTTGGATTTACTAACGATGAAATGAACGTCAGAATGTGGGTTGGTCCACGCCAACTTCATGTCTGGCGTATGTACACACATTTCTTGTGTGTGTTTGTTATATTTCCATTGGCGACTCCTAGAGGCACTTGTGTTAAATTGCACACTACAAAGTGTCTTTGAACCGTGTAATGGCAGCTGTATGGGACAGGTTCATCCGCATGTCTAGCAGGTATATAAGGTTTCCATACTGTTGTAAACTTCTAAGGGCCCAAAAAACCAGGGAGAATCTTTCGGTTGTCTTCAAAGCAGAATCCTTTTTAATAAGAAGAACTCAGCGTGGCTGTGGCGTCATCGAAAGCAAACTCTAAACTGCACAGCAAAACACTATACATTTATACATTTTACAGCATGTAGGTGGGGTCAGATGCAAATGAAGTGTTGTGGTCAGCGGGGTAAACTGCTTTTTCAGGCCTGGTCTCATCATGTTATAGTGACAGAAACCGCCTAACCAGTTGACCGAAAAGAGAAAAACAGGTGTGCTGTGAAACTAACACTTTGCATTACTGTCGATAATAAATTTATCCTTCTACAGTTCCCCCTTTGAGAGTTATCAAAAAACTCTCACAATATATAAATTTATACACAAAAAAAAGTTCATTCTTGTAACATATTATGGTTACAGGCTCATAGTACTTGCTCTGTTTTTACTGTCTATATTTACAAACGACATGTTGACACAGAAACAAACATGCCGCTAAAGTCCATGGATTTCTTATAGATAATATTCTGTTCTGGTTGGAACTTTCATTTCTTCGTCATGGGCGTGGGTCAAATGTTGAGTAAAACATTTCATACTGTGGATGCATAGATAGTACAACAGTAGGAAAAGCAATTGAAGAATAGCTATTTCCTTGATCCACAGCCAGAGTTTACCTAACAGGTTTTCAAATCAAGCAGTTGACCAGCCAAATATTAAAGCGCAATTTGCAGAGGTCGCCGTTTTTCCCAATGTAATCAGAGTGATCTACTGCACGCACATTGCTAAAAAGGCACTATCTGAAGACGAATTTGTATAGGTGAATCAGAAACATTTCCGTTTAATAAATGTGCAAATAATATATGCTGCACAGACTTTTTGATAATTCCTACTTGTCTTCCTTGTGATGAAGAGTAGCCAAAATCTGATATGTAGCAGGGGGAAAAAAGAAGAACGTCTTCATCAGACGCTGAAATCAAACCGAGTTCATGTTTGAACGTGTCAACAGATGTTGCCATGCGTTTTACAAGCTACGCCACTCATGCTGTTAAAGATACTACAAAATTTTAAAATTTTACTTTTTGATAATTCCTACTTGTCTTCCTTGTGATGAAGAGTAGCCAAAATCTGATATGTAGCAGGGGGAAAAAAGAAGAACGTCTTCATCAGACGCTGAATTCAAACCGAGTTCATGTTTGAACGTGTCAACAGATGTTGCCATGCGTTTTACAAGCTACGCCACTCATGCTGTTAAAGATACTACAAAATTTTACACCTTTACATCGCAATGTTTCTTTTTTTAAATCCACTCAGTGCGATGTTTAATCCCAACTGTGTTAACCGCATCAGCTAAACTCTCCCACTCTATTTTTTTTCTTTTGTTATTAATTCCGGAGGACAAACTTGCAAATAACACAGTTTTTCTCCGGTCTACCTCTGAAAGCAGCACCTCCAAATCACATTCTGTTCAAAGTTTCTCTTTTTGCTTGCTTTTGGCATTGCTTTTTCGTTGGGTTTTGCCTAAGTATAGTAATTAGCATATTCATACGGGGGAGGAGGCAGGGTGGGGTTTTGTGCACGTGCGCTCAGTTTTATGTGCACTGCACATGCAGTGTTTCATACATCTGAATTTTTTACTGCGTACGCACATTTACAGCTTTGTGCGTACGCAATGTTTTAGTAAGATTTCAACGAAAGTCTTCGAACATGAGGCCCCAGAACACCCCTTTCAGACGGATTCAGTTACAGTTCGTGGGTGTGACCTCAACTCTGTCTATACACACAAAGACCAGCTTTATTTTGCAGTCTTCCTCCAAACTACAAGAATGGTAAAGTTGCATGAGCTATGTCCTGTGCCGTTCATTTGAATCGCATCTAAATGAATTAAATCTGGTACAAAAAAGCACTTCTAATACCCTATCTGGTCTGCATTCTTTATTTTAATCGTGCATGAGCACCTGCACAATAGTTATGTACATCCCTGTATATAAAACGTATCTTTTCTATATTCTGCATTATTATATACATATATAATTATATAAGTTCTTTGGTCTTGTAACACTAGCAATCCCTTTTATATTTTCTACTTTTAAAATGTCTCCATTTTAAGTTTAGCAATGAGTTGGAAGCTTTTTGAAGTATTTCAATTTGAGCTATTATTTGAGTAGCATTACTATATATATATATATATACAATATACACACACAAATTTACACATACAATCTCTCTCTCTCTCTCTCTCTCTCTCTGTGAATTCACGTATATTTTACATACAGTACTGTCACAAAAATGAACATGGTTTTTAAAAAAATTGTAACAGCTATGTTACTTATTACACATACATATATGGAGATTATAAAAATGAATATTCTGATTCGACAATTTTGACATTAAAGACTTGAATTAAACATGTGGATTCGATAAATTTTAGTTGCATAAAACTTGATGTTAAGATGGTTACTAGCAGGATCTCTCAAATCTTTTTACAAGACCATATAAAAGGCTTACCTTGTTCTGCTGATATCAGCTGTAATATTTTTTTTAATTAGTCAGCTCTAATTAGTTTAGTTAACTAATGTTGAATATTGACTCCCTGGCAAGATTTTTAATCTATTTAAACCAGGAGTGTCCAAACTCAGACCTGGAGGGCTGGTGTTCTGCTGAGTGTAGTTCCAACGTGCCTCAACACACCTGCCAGGAAGTTTCTAGTATATCCAGTAAGAGCTTGGTTAGCTGGTTTAGGTATGTTTGATTAGGGTTGGAGGCTTGGAGCTAAACTCTCAAGGACACCGGCCCTCCAGGACCAAGTTTGGACACCCCTGATTTAAAAAGGTGACAGTGGGAAAGTAAGAAAATCAAGACTGTCTGGAATTTTTGTTATTTTGTATTATTTACTACCATGTATTGTCTTGTGAAATACCAATAAATAAAAAATAATGTTAAAAAAAATTAAAGAGATGCTGATCTTTAAACCAATTTCTCCATTAAACAAATATTACAGTTTTCAACAATAACAAGAAATGTATTATGAACAGCAAATCATCATATTAGAAGGATTTCTTAAGGTTTACATTCAGCTTTAGCAGGGATAAATTGTATTTTAAAATATATTACAAATGAAAACTGTTATTTTAAATCGAACTGATATTTCACTATATTGCAGTTTTAATACATTTTTGCTAAATTGTATCTTCAGTGAGAATTAAAAATGACTGAAAATAATATACACACACCAAACTTTTGAATGCTAGTGTATGATGAATCTAAATCAGCCAATTAATGTGAAGTGTGAGTGAGTCATACTTGGGCAGAGGCAGCTCCTGGATGTGATCTATGCGGACGAGCTGTCGGATGCAGAAACGGCACAGATGCTGGAGGGATTTTACATTGCTGAAGCGTGAGACTGGATAAAGCAGCTGTACAGGGGTGGGGGGCAACCCTGAAACATACACACATACACCATTTCAGTTCTGACCTTTCATTTCTTATATTTGGTCTTTACAAATAAAATAAACTCTACCACTTCTGTGCATAGTCCAGCCACAAGCACTTAAGTATAACCAACAGTTGTTATTATACTGTGTACTAAAATTGTTAAGGCATTTTCACATCAGATATTTATATAAAAATTAAAATAAAGCAATGAAGTGAAAAAATCTGAAGTGATTCGGTTTGAGAAATCAATCCAAGCCAACGGACCAACAATCAAAGGGTATCATTATTCATTACAGAAAATGTCACATAAAGTGCAGCAGTGTCTTATCCGTGCATGAGCACATTACAGATGATAACCAAAAGGCTTCCTCATTAAATGTTGTGTAAATGCTCTTTTATATTTATTGTAATAATGATGTCTTAAAAATGCCTTGATTCCTGGCTTATATATACAGTATGTAGCTCTGAAAAAAATTAAGAGAACTTTTGATTAATAGGTTTGTGTTATAATTAAAATGTTAAATTGTGTTATTTTATAAAATACTGGCAACATACATTCCTTACAATATTATGTAGAGCATTTATTTGCAGAAAATTTCAAAAGGTCAGTATAAAACATTTAATGTTTTCTGACATTAAATAAGACATCATGATTAGGACATTTAACATATACTGTAAAAATACTGTAAATGTACACTTCATGTATGTATATATTATATATATTGTCATTTACTTTTTTCATTTTGTCATTTGTGTTTTATTTGATTTTTTTTTATTTAAAAATTTAGAAGAATATCACTTAGAACATTTATTTAACAGAAAATCTCAATTGCCAGTACAAAACACAATTTTCTGACATCAAATAATGAGAATACAGCCCTAATTATAGACAGCTAAGTTATACTGTAAATGTTCATCTATTTTTGCAACAAGTCACGTCTGATAAAGAGTATAATGTACATATTGTTATTTTCTTCAAGTAAATTCAAGATATTTTTTGACACAAAATCAGTTGTATAATAATAAAACCTAAATTAACAGTCTACTCAGATGAACGCATGCTTATTAAAGGTAAAATCCAAAAAATGAATAATAACTTTGGCTTTTAATTTTTTCCAAAGCTGTACATGTAAATGCTAAAATGTATCAGCTCCAGCAGGAATGATGGCTAAATACATGCACAAAGGCTACAGATAAAGAACCTGCCAGTCCATCTTGATGATTGACACAGAGAGAGGAACATAAACAGGTGCATAATGGCCAATGAGAGGGCAGTGTACTCGCATGTTGCTTGAATAAAAACATGTTGTTGCACTTTGAAAAGTTGCGATGTGAAAGCAAATTCAATCAAGAAGAAAATGCTAAAATGTAGCACTTTAAGTCCTAATTTTTAGAAACGGGTCTGAAAATGCCCTGAATGAAGATACTATTAATTGAAATGAAACATCGCTTGAAATGTTGCCTTGGCTGGACTTACTAAAAAATAAATTTAAGCAAAAACTTATTACATGACAAAAAGTGCACATCAAAATACAACAAATGAAAACTAAATATAAAAGAGAATTCAAAATGTTATATACTAGTTCATAAATCAACCTAAAACAACAGTGGACTAAACACAAAAATTGCCCCCTGCTCCTTTCAGCAAACACTCAAATTACTGTTTGTTCAAACTACTTTTTAAAATTGAGTTGAAACTACACGATTCTTGAGTTTTACATTTTTGAGTAACTAGGTTACTTGATATCCTATTTTTGCATTCCATGCACTTTTCCTTTTCCTTTTGATTCAACAATAGTAGTTGAGAAACTTGTCTGCCAGTGTCCTATCAGATAAGCAGTATGTCTGTATTCATACCAGGTACACGTGAACGTAGGAAGTAGAGGAATTTCCCATTTTTTGAGTGCATAATGGCTCGCTCGATGAACTCCACCACAGAATGACAGCGATCCTCAAACTTAGGGTGGCACCATAAACTGAAGGTTCCTGAAAGGTTAAAGACCGGGAAAAGAAATGTAGTGAATAAAAGGATCACTTGGAGACTTTTATATCGATTTTTTAATTATTACTTTTTTCTACATTGTTCAAATAGTTTTTTTGCAAATGATATTGTTATAATATAAATTATATAATTACATATAATTTATTTAATTAATATATCATATGCATTAATATTTCCACACCAACCCGGGGAGAACATGCAAACTTCATATATATATAATAATATAATATATATATATACCGTATCAAAATATTTTAATGGATAAACTTAAATAATAGATAAAAATGACAGTAAGAAAAATTTGTTTTCTTACTCAAGACAACAACTAAGAAAAAAACCATTTGGTCAATCTTTACAGTGATTTATTTACTTGAAATGGTAAAAGGCTATAATTTTTTAATGTTTTTTATGTAAAAAATAATTTATTGACAAAAAAGAAACCAAAAATATGAATAAGACCACCAATAATATCTGCAGTTAGTCAGCCTAAAATGCATTCGCCATGTAAACACTTGCTGTTTAATTTTTTTTCTTCTATTAATTGATTTTATTCTTTTATTTTTTTATCCTTTTTAAACAGGTTTTGCTTTTTTTCAGAAATAGTTAAAAATAGGAGTATGAAAAGTTTTAATGACTCATTTTGATTCTCCAATCTGACTTTTAAGAATGTCTTTGCACATTGAAGTCAGAAATTTCCATATCCGCTTTTCGTATTTGTTAGAAACCTTGCACATTGAGTTTGGTGCGTATTAATGAGTCCGTTGCAAATACTTTTATTAAAGCGCAATCAAAACGAAATTTTCATGCAGAGATGCTTAAGAAAGAGGAAATATTGTGTCCATTGAATTAAACTGACCCTGAACAGAGACTAGCAGTATGTCAAATCTATGGACACACATACTGTACACATTGTGGGAAAGTTATGAGGCATGTGGAAGGCTACAGTAGTCTTTATATTACACACTTTGTTAGTCATAAAGTGCAATGTGCTTCGAGACGAAGTGGATTCATTTTTGTCAGGTGCCATTCTAGCTTTTGCCTGTTGTTTCTATGGCAGCTCTGAATGAAGAAAAAATGTAACCCAATCTGAATTTAGTCATGGCTGAATGTTTTGGAGCCATTGTGTATATATGATTGACAATCTGAGGTTGTGTGCAAAAATTCAGAATAAAGTTTGGATTATTGTGCAATGAACTTAAAGGAACGCTCTTTTTGGAAACAGGCTCATTTTACGAGTAAATAATTGAGTTTTAAAATTTTTTTGATTCCACTCAGCCAATCTCCAGATTTGGCAGGAGCACTTTTACCTTAGCTTAGCACAAATCATTGAATTAGATTAGACCATTAGCATTCATTCATTCATTTTCCCTTGGCCTAGTCTCTATTTCAGAAATCGTGGAATGAACAGTAGAATGAACCGCCAACTATTTCAGCATATGTTTTTCATAGCTTCCAGCCACAACTCGGTACTGAAAACCATTAGCATCTTGCTTTAAAAATTTAATAATTTCAATAATTCAGTAATTTTGAGAGAGTATAGTTCCTAGCAACTTTTAGTTTTGTGTTGCACTTAGAACACACAATGTTACTACAGAGGAGTCCAAACTACAAATAGGAAAATTGTTGATATTTAATTTTATTGTGTGCTAATGTACTAATCCGATTTAATGATTTATGCTAAGCTAAGCTAGAAATGCTCCCACCACCCAGAACACAGCTGAATGGATAAAAAAATGGTGAAACTCAGCTATTTAAATCTAAATGACTTGTAAAATAAGCCTATTTCCCCCAAAACTAAAGTGTTTCCTTAACTGTCACTCAAGTGATGAAGCAATATGCTTGTTAGGCAGTGTAGTCAACGCTGACCAATCAAACTCCAAACCACATGAGGATGTGGTTTGTAAACAGGATTTTGTGTGCTTTTGACTGCACATTAAAGTCTGATAAGCCAAAAGAAAAAAAAAAACAGTATGCACTTTTTATGGCTACGTATATGCATGTTTACCTCTGTAGTGCTCCATACGCGTGTGGTGTGTGACTCCCTGTGAGCGAAAGCTGAGGCTGAGGATGTATCGTGGGTCTGAACTGTCCCGCACCAAAAACGAGCCATCAGGCTTCCCTCTCAGCTTCATTTCAGCATCCTCCCAGTTCATCGGCCCCCAATACCAGCCACACTGCAAACACACACAATGACCGATAAACCAACAGTGCTGAAAAAAACTGCTTCTAGAGAAAAGATGCAAAACCCACAACCACAGGAAGCCACAGTTATGTTGCACAATCAAAGGGCTAGTTCACCCGAAAATGAAAAATCATTTACTCCCCTTCACTTGTACAAAATCTGTTTGGGTTTCTACAGTTGAACACAAAATAAGATATTTTGAAAAATGTTGAAAACCGGTAACTATTAATTTCCATTTTTTCCTACTTAGAAAGTTAGTGGCTACCAGATTTCAACATTTTTTTTTCAACATGAAAAGAAACGCAAAGAGTTGAAACCACTTAGTAAATAGTGAGTTCATTTTCATTTTTGGGTGAACTGTCCCTTTAAAAGGGTCTATAGATATACATTCCCAGTGATGTTACACCATTTACAGTCATTTGTCTCTCACCCGCTCCAGCTCTCTCAGGCTGGCAGTGAAGCTACTGGAATCGGCCCCTCTTAGCGGGCACATGACTTGCGGCGGAGCTAGTCTGGCAGGGGCTGGATTCTCCATTGGTGATGCAGCTGAATGAGGAAGTGCCCGGAAGAAAGCATCTGAGACACAAAAAAATGACCATTTTTAGTTGAATGCACCAATAAATACTGAAACTAGGGCTGTAAGGGACAACTACAGTCCTGCTAGGGCTGATAGTCCATATAAAATTCTACCTAAAAGATTACTTAAAGCTACTTGAAGCTTTAAAACTTGGCAAAATACAAATTTAAAATTTTTTTATTTAAATTTTGATATAAACATTTAATCAGATATGCTGCAATGTTGCTCAAATGTTGTTGACATTTATATAAACCACCTTATTTAGCTATATATATGGAAATGAAACATAACAGTGAGTGATATTATATATACAGTCATGTGAAAAAATTAGGACACCCTATGAAAGCCTGGGTATTAAGGTTAAGTAAATCGTTGCTCAGCATTTCAAACGAGGCTTGTCTTTTCTAAACCTCTAAATATTTATTTGCTGTTCTCCTGTTGATGTGAGAGTGAGCACCAAGGTGAGAGCAAAAGAGCTGTCTGAGCTGGGTAAGTGATTAAAAAAGATCTTAAAAGATTTTGAAATTAGCCATTCTACTGTCTGTAAAATAATCTACAAGCTAAGGGCTTTCAAAACAACTGTCCCTTTATTAATCAGGGATCGCCACAGCGGCATGAACCGACAACTTATCCAGCATTTGTTTTACACAGCGGATGCCCTTCCAGCCACAAACCCAACACTGGGAAACACCCATATGCTCTTGCATTCCCACACATACACTACGGTCAATTTAGCTTGTTCAATTCACCTATAGCGCATGTCTTTGGGCTGTGGGGTACACCGGAGCACCCGGAGGAAACCCATGTCAACACAGGGAGAACATGCAAATTCCACACAGAAATGCCAATTGATCGATGTGCTACCCACTGTGCCACCCTTTGTGCTAACTTTTTCCTTAGTTAGAATATGCATTTTTGTAGAATTTACATTTACAGAAGATCTTGAAGTTGTTGTTTTTTTTTTTTTTCAGTTTAATTGTTACCGTAATCTTTCTGCATTGTTAAAATTGAGATTAAACAACCATATATTAAAAAACCTTACAAAATACCCAGGCTTTCATAGGGTGTCATAATTTTTTCACATGACTATTATTTTCATTTTACACCTTCATTTTGATAAGTCATATAGAGGAAAGAACAGAGGATCTGGGTCACCACAATCAGTTAAGCCATATCTGTCAGTGCACTAATCACAAGCGACCACAAACAGTTAATTTTACTTGAACTAAACATGCTAAGTGTGAACATGCCCTTCACCATATATTTCTAATGAAATACCAATTAAACTGCCGATGTGTCACAGTTGATGCATACAAGTTACCCTATCTTTAATATTGCCATCATAACCCTTTATATCTTATACATACTGCAAAGGTGCCATAGAATAGAAAACCGTTTATACAAGGAAGAGTTGAATATTTAGCCTCAAACAGTTTTTCCTCCTCATAGTAATCTTGTTTGAGTAAATAACAAATAAAATCAGAACAGAACACTATTTGTGATGTCAGAGTTTGTTATCATTAAAATGTAGGCTAAGGGAATTCTTTAAGTTATATTGTCATTACAACCCACTACCGCAAGCAAAAAGTAGTTTTGTTTCAGCCATTTCTGTTTAAATGAAATGTTGAGATAATTTTATTGATCATTTTCCATGTGTTGTCGAGATTTGATTTGATTTATTTATTTCAAACAGAAAAATCATACATAGAATTGAGATTGATCACAATCTACTACTGTAGTAATGTTAACCTTAACTGGAAAACCTCTACTATCTAGTACAGATAATTAGATATTAGGATGACCTATTTTACGAGGAGTGTAAGTTTTTAAAAATGTTCTTCCATGTAGTGTGTAACAGAACTAAAAGTAAATGAAAACATCCAGCTGAGGTTTAAATATAAAAGTGCACAGTGTTTATAAGTATTGATTAAACGAAAGAGCCGAATAAATTATTTGTTTTCTGTTCAGATCATTTGTCTGCTCATCGACGTCGGTACGAGACATCACCAAATAATAAGTACCTGATCCGGTAAAACGCGAACGCGCCTGTCCCTTAGCCAAGTTTCGGGGGATCATGGGATTGATCATGACGCAAAGATTACTATCACTAAAAGATGGAGATTGGGCTGTAGGGAATAAAGGGTTAAAGTTCATTTTCACAACAATAGCATTGTGAAACAAACCGTGTGCTGTGTTTGTTCCTGTCATTTTTTTAATGATTAATACAATACCCTACCAAGCGAGACTCACCAGCCGTTTATTATTAAAGGATCAGCAAAGACTATTAATGTATGGAACTTTGTCAGTAACTGTTACGCTGTTTATATGAACCAGTTTCTTCTTCCTCCAGATCCTGTGTTTCTCCTTCCTACACTACCTGTATGTGTGATTAAAATAGTTGCCTTGTTTTTTGAAGTTTGTTTGAAATATGTACTTGTGTGTTGTAACTTGTAATTGCTCCACACGGCTTGTAATCACTTATCTAATATAGATCAGTGCTTGTAATGTATCCAATCACCGCAGACTGGGACATTGGACCAATCACAGCAGATTAGTGTCACACAAAGGAGGGGTTTGGAACAAATCACTGAACAAATCATGAGAGTCATTGGGATAATTTGGTAAAAATTTATAAATATTGTAAGGCAATGAACGTGTTTTTTGACCTTGCATGCATATCAGCCTGTTGTTGGCGATCCCAATAACTAAAATATGTCCTTTTATAATGCATAATGAGGGCTCTTTAATATTGGCTGTTTACAAATTGCAGGAACACATACAATTGAAACCAGAAGCTTACATACACTCTAAAAAAAGGAACATAACAATTTTTTTTTTTAAATGTCTGATGGTAAATCATACTAAACATTTACTATTTTAGGTCCAATAGGATTACCTAAATAATTTACATTTGCTAAATGCCAGAATAATGAGAGATTTTTTCTTTGACATTTTTTTTTTATTAATTTCTTGACAGTCAAAAGTTTACCTACATTTCCTTGGAATTTCTTTGCTTTGCTTTTATACTATAACTTTGGTCAAATGTTTTGGGTATCGTTCCACAAGCTTTTCGCAATAGTTTGAAGGAATTTTGGCCCATTCCTCCTGACAGAATTGGTGTAACTGAGTCAGATTTGTAGGCTTGCTCGCACAAGCTTTTTCAACACTGCCCACAAATTTTCTATAGGATTGAGTTCAGGGCTTTGTGATGGCCACTCCAAAACATACATTTTGTTTAGTATATTCAGCACACTAAGCACATTTTAACTAATTTGGCAGTATGCATAGGGTCATGGTCTGTTTGGAAGACCCATTTGTGGCCAAGTTTTAATTTTCTGGCTGATGTCAGCCAGACATAATGTCCTTTCTACATGATGCCATCTATGCTTTGAAGTGGACCAGTCCCTCCGGCAGCAAAACAGCTCCACAACATGATGATGCCGCCCCAATACTTTACAGTTGGGATGGTGTTCCTAGGCTTGTAACCTTTTCCATTTGTCCTCCAAATGTAACTCTGGTCATTATGGCCAAACAGTTCAATCTTAGTTCCATAAGACCACAGGACATGTCAAAAAATCCCAGTGTAATTCAGCAAATTGCAATATATCTTTTTTGTTGATTCTGGCTTGTAAGGAAGCAGTGTGTTTGAGGTTTTCCTTAAATACTATTCTACAGTTGTGCCTCCAGTTAACTCAAATGGTGTCAGTTAGCCAATCAGAAACTTCCAAGACCTTGACACCATCACCTGAGCTTTTCTAGGGGCATAATAATCTCATTGTATCTAAACTTGACTTTCAAGAAAAGTTACAATTTCTCAAAAAATATCTCTCATTATTCTGCTATTAAGTATAACAGAAACAAATTTGATAATCCTAACTTACCTAAAAGAGAAAAAGTTTAGTCACATTAACATTTGACTTTTTAAAAATGTTTATGTGCATTTTTATACTGTGTATGTAAACTTCTGGTTTCAACTGTAGATTGGACTTGTCCTCATTGAGACCGTTTTTGCAAACCAGGTCACCTTGGAAGAAAGGTCAAGAAAGATTGCTGTGATTTTAATATAATATGTGCAAAAGATTTACAAAGATACTTTGCAAAATACAATTAAAACTCATTTGAAAGATTTTCAGCCTAATAAAACTGAAGTTTTAAGGCTTCATTCCAACTTTCATGTGGATGTTTACTTTTACCATCCTTATTTTCACATACTTGCAGTGAGAAACCCCTAAACGAGTTCAATCTCTGACCTGTAATAGTCAATGGAAAAATGTTGTGCTTCCCTCATTATTAATTTAGCTGCAGTGACCTCTGGGACTTCAAACGAATAATGCACTCAAGTCTGCTTTCAATGCATCTTTGATATCAACTATTTACATTCTTTCTGTTCTTTTACGCATGCTCTGTGCGTGTTGGCATAACACAGATCGTGTCACCATAGATACAGTTTCACTTTCCACTGTGGGGCTTAGAATGGAGCTCTTTAGAATGTCGTTTTTTAAACACTTGTGTAATGTGAACAGCTATATGGATCACAAACAGAGTTCTGTTATCAGGGCCTACTTATTTATCTGACATTTACTTTCAATTACAGATAAAAAGAAATGGCCAGTTTTCGCTTAGCCTGTTGTTGTGAATCCTGTCACACATATGCACTCTACCAGTGTGGCACAGTGAACTCTGCCTAAAAGTCTGACCCGGGGTTGGTTTGTTGTTATGTCATGCTGTATAATACTTCCAAATACAACTGCAACTCCTCCACTCAAGTTGAAACTATTGTCATTTGACAAGGCATCTACGTAATCTGTTAAAGGAAACCTATTATGTCCCTTTTTAAAAGAGTGTCCCTTTTACAAAGAGTCTCATTTGCTCAGTTAGCGCAGTTCGTTTGGTATATGAATCCAGCAATGCTTGGATCACATCAAATCAATCAGTCCGAGATCACCTGAATTAAGTGGTCTCGGCTTGATTGAAACTAACTCTGGAGCGGATCAATTGT